CCCTCGAGTTTACAAGCTCAATCAAAATTGAGCTGAAATTTTAGCTCATTTATGAGCTGGTCTTTAGTTCACTTATTGAACTAAGGGTTAGTTCATTATTAGCTAAGTTTTAGTTCATAGTTATCTTTTATTTAATGTACTTTTTATTATAGTTTTTAATATCTTCATTTAAGTTGTCTCTTGGGTTTCCAAAAGGGCTTTTGGAATCCCAAGAAGTTGTTTGGTTTTCCCATGTGTGGCTCCTTGGCTTCCACCATGGGCTTTAGTTTTTTTTGTGCCTTTGCCCCTTGGAATTCCGGCCAGCTGCTGGTTTTTCGAGCCTGGGATGTTTCCCGTGGCTGTGGCGCCTTGGTTCCGTGTAGCCTCCTTGTCTCCCGCGGCTGCTCCTTCGGTTCCTGGATTTGGGCGGTTTTCCGTGATTAGCATGTGGGGATTTCCATGCTTGTGATGTTTAGGTTCTTGTGAAAATTAATGTTGCGTGTCCTTTTGTATTCCCCTTTCATACCTATATATATGAGGGGCTTGTAATGTTTTAAAATAGTGAATGATATGTGATTTTTGGAAATGCAAACCTGCAGGTTTCATGGAAAAGCTTGCAAACTTTGTCCGTGTTCTTTCTCATCCCCTCCGGAAATCTTGCGAGCTCTTTCCAACCTTTCGTCTTGGCTTCTAACCTCTTGTGTCTCTCCGCAAGTGCCACTCCATCTGTATCTTTCGTCTCTAAGTAAAGCAACTTTAGGGTGTCTTTGATTTCGAGTCAAAAGTTGTAATCCGTCGTCGTTTGTAATGTCTTTTAAAATTTCTTCTTTTTAGTTTAATTTGAAATGTAAGAGTTTGTTCTTCCTCATCTTAGTCGCATCATTTCGTGATTTAGTGTGTCGTCGGTTAAGGATCAATCATTTGTGTGGGCGATATAGGCTCCCTATATTTCTTGCCCCCACCAATATAGAAGACTTACAAATTATGCGAGAGTAATGGGACATTAGTGTAAAAAGATTACACCAATTTTTGATAACCAATTTGATTTCAAGCGAGGAATACATACTATAAAAACAATTTTTGTATTAGGACAATTACTATAAAAGTATAAAAAAAAAAAGAATTTCATATATATGATTTTTATTGATCATGAGAAGGTCTAAGATCAAGAATTATGGTACATGATTTGGCATGATTTAAGGTGAAAAGTTATGTCAAAGATATGTTAACATTATTTAAATATGGATGATGGAATACTGATTAGTATTAGTAGATATAGAGCGACTCAAGAATTTCTAGTTTCCATGGGTTTTCATCAATGACCAACATCGAGTCAATATATTTTGTATTTGTTATGAAAATGCTTACAAAATATATTCAAAATAAAAGACCTTTGTATATGCTTTTTGTATATGATATAATTCTAATTAGGAAAACATCAACTAAAATAAGTTAAAAAATTAGATCAATGAAGAAAATGCTTAAAAAATAGACATTTTTCGAAATTGAAAAACAAATACTAAGTATATGATACATAATTTTAAAGGTTTAAAAAATATCATTCAATTCTATTAGAAAAAAAAAATTCCACCAAGTTGAGATAGGTTGAAGTATCATGGATCCATTATATGAAAAAATGAAGATATAAATCACGACATAACTTTGAGAGTCGAGAATGGATAATTAATAGAAATACCTTAAAGAGTTCTGTTTGAAAAAAGAATATCATTAGTGATTAAAGGCAAATTATATAAAACGACAATTATGACTGTGATGTTGTATGGACATGAATGTTGGACCGTAAAAACATTGAGTAGTGCTATATTATAAGAATGTTAAGATGGATATGTGAAAAAATTAGAAAGAATAAATAAAAAAAGATTATATTATAAGAAAGGTTAGAGCGACACCAATTAAAAACAACAAGATAATGGAAAAAATATTTAAGAGGTTGGAACATTCACAATGAAGTGTTGAAAACATATTCGTCAAACAAATTGAAAAAATTAAGTGACAAAGAATTAGAAAGTAAAAAATGATGACCTAAGGTTATATAAATAGAAATTGTCAAAATAATTTGTGAAAAATAGATTTAACATATTAGATAACACTCAACAATAATGAATGAAAATTTAGAATTCATATACCAACTATAAATAGTTTGGATAAGACTACTGATGATGATAATTTAGCATCCCTCAACCCTAACAACTTGTTTTGGTACAGTATGGTATTTTGATTGTTGAAGTATGATAAAATATCAATGATGTTGAGTTCCGTAACTTATTGATATACTATTAGGATGAAAAACACGTGGAAGGAGTGAGAATCAACAAATATTGAGATGAATGAGCAAATAAGAATGATTATGTGGGTAGTGAAATTCGAACTTACCATAGTGAACACGAGATCAAATATAGGCATGAAAGAGAACATATATTCAAATGCATTGGAACCAAAAGAAGTTCAGGGTAAAATTCATGCTCAACAAAGCATTCGTTTACAAAAGCTGAAAGAAGGGATTAGAGCATGAAGTGCTCCATCTACCCCTACTCAATATCTCTAGCAATTGCAGTCTAATGCCTTTAAGAGAGATTGATGTTAAAAGGATAGAGAGAACTTAGGAAAGGAAAGTGAGGTAGACAAGGGATATAGGGAACCTATATCACTTGATCACAAAAGACACACAAGAAGAAAACTGACACAATGAGTAGAACTTAAAACAAATTTTATTAAATAAACGCAAACGACTCAAAACTTGACAAACACAACAAAAGATACTAGGAGATTTTAAAGAAATAAAAAAACGCTATCCTCAGACAACCGTCAGAGCGGGTTCCTCACATGCATCGAATTTGTAGGATAAATAAGTAAAGTGCATAGAGCTAGCAAACCGATGGTCCACCACTGCAAGACTGTCCCAAATGCTTCCAAATCAACCAAGACACGACACCCTAAAGTTGCTTCACTGTTGAGAAGAATGATACAGATGGAATGGCACTTGCGGAGAGACGAAGAGATTAGAAGCCCGAGAAGAAAGGGTGGAAAGAGCCCGCAGGATTTCCGGAGGGAGAAAAGAAGGTTGGAAAGAGCCCGCAGGATTTCCGAATAAACCCGCAGGTTAATAGAAAATATGCTCACAAATATCAACTAACTTCCTTCACAACATTTTCTCATATTTATAGGCAAGAGAGAGGAATACCAAGAGTCACATGTCTTTAATTTCCATTAGAACCAAAGCATAATAGGCATAGAAAACTTCCCCCAAAGCTCACGGATAAACTCTCAAACCAGGAACCAAGGAGACAGCCACGGGAGACGAGGGAACCACACGGACCGAGAGCCACAGCCACGGGAAACGAGGGGCGGACACGGAACAAGGAGCCAGCCGTGAGATCCCAAGAGGTAAATAAATTCTTGATAGCATCAGAAAGGGAGGTGAAGAATTTGAGAGGAGAAGAGCATGTGAGTGCTTCATATTTACATGTTTGATGCTATGTTGATTGCAATGCGCATCATTTAAAGGAATGTATATAAAAGGCAGATAGAATTTGGTGAACTTGCTTAAGCGAGTGATTAATATTGCATGAAAAATGGAGGGAGAACGAGATAGATTACAAAAGAGACAAGATTAAAGTGTATTAATATGGGATTTAAAGTATAGCAGATGTTGCTCTGAAACTGAAAAAAATCCTCCTCTCTTCCATTCTAAACACGTGACCAAATTACACTAATTCGATGACTGTAATATCCTCATTGATGATCTTCCTTTACTTTCATTCCACCCAAACCCACACCCAACAAATAGCGAACTTAGAGATATAATTGATAAACTGAGTGCCTAACATATGTGTTCCATTCACTAGAATTATTTAAACAAAATAATGTGAACATGAGGCTTGATGTTAGTTTGACCAAATATTTTGTTATCAGAGCTATTAGCTATAAAATAGCAATGAATTTACTTCTATTTAGTAAATCATTCAAGGTCATTTCTTATAGTTGATATAAGACCCAAATTGCAACTGACAAACAGCTGAAAATGATTGATGCAAAAGCTTTTATGAGCAAGCAAACACACGAGAATGCATTCATAGACATATTAACGGACAGCTGACCAACTGATTTAAGATCTTATGCTTGACCAATCACAGATTTAAAATGAAGGATACAAATCTCAAGAACCAACAATTATTTTGAAATAAATCATGTGTATTCTAGCATAACTAAAATCTATTCTCAACTCTACACATAGGGCATAGCAGTTATACCTTTAAATAAAGCTCATGAACCTCTTGGAAAAAGCTTTTTATTGCATCTTCATTTCGAGAGTCATGAAGCAACATCAATCTAGTATGTAAGAAGCAGTTTATCAAGGAAACAACTTAATAAAGGGTATATCATAAAAAGGTAAGAAGGAGATCATCTCAACGGCTAAATAAAGATAAGAAGCCATTTTTTGGTATTAATAAGAGAAATATATTAGTCTGTGCTTCAAAATTTTCAATGATGATGAAACTTCTGTAGCAGTGCAGATGAGTTGATACAAAGAAATAGCGTGTAACTAAAGCAAATATTAATTTTATTTCTCTCTCAATAGCCCAAGCCATCACAGAAAAATTTTTTTTGCATCTAGCATTCTTGTTTTACCATTAACTCTATTTTACTCTACAGTGTAATAGACTATTTTTTGCTAGACATGGCCAAACATATTACTTCTTTTATGAGAAATTAAGACAATAAAGACTGAAATCAGCTTTAAGGATATGACCGGCAGTGACATATACTGATACAACGAGTTCGTTGAATCGGTCCATTGCCTTCAAAAACCTGTAAAATGATGTAGAGATAAAACAGCTTCAACAAAAGTTCAATGAACAACAAAACAGGGATAGGCTACAATAAACCATCGCAAAAGAACCACAGGCAGGATGCTCACATAGCACTTGTTGTCCATGCAAGATCTTGAACAATATCTAAAGCAGCATGTAAAATAAACTGATGCTGATGAGCTGCTTCTTCTTTCTGGTGCAGGGAGTAATGTTAAAGAAGTAAATTGGAAAACGTAGGAAATTTTGCTCAACCATAGAAAATCATCTCTATCATCATAATTAACTGAAAAGATATGATATAATTTGAACTGTGTAAACTTCGTTAAGGACTTTTATATAACAAAATTACAGGCTGTACTACATAATTTCTTCCTTTGAAAAACTAATTACATAGTATGACTTCACAATATTCCTAGGAAAGAATGTACAAATATTAACCAAGTTTCTATTCATGCATCTATGGGAATAAGGAAACTCTACATCTTGCAAGGGATTCCTTGAAAGGCAATACCGCCTCAACCATTCATGAGATCCCTTCGTGGATCTGCTAAGCAGGACAGCCACCAGTAATCCACAAGTTGTAGAGTAGATATTCTCCGTGCCTAATTTGGAGATCATATTCTGAAATGCAGGTGCTTGATAGTCCCGTGGTTAGAATGCACTCAATTGCTTGTGTGCCTGAATATATAGTATATATACCAAACCACTTAATAGTTCTTTTTTTTTTTTTAAGTATCGATCAACTTCTCTATGCATGGTTTGGTCAAATTGGACTTAGTTGTGTGCAATTTTGATTGTTGATTTGTTATTGCAGTATAACTTTATGGTAACTTTTAAATTTATTCCCAAGTCATTTAGGATGATTTTGATTCAAATAATTAGTAAATTTCTTAGGTCATTACTTTAAATTCAGTTTCAGCACGAGGTTTGGAGATAATTGACTTCTTCTTGCTTCTCCTTGGAGTAGGGGTGCAAACGAGTCGAGTCGAGCTCGAGTTAAGGGGTGTTTGAGTCGAGCTCAACTGTCAAATACCGAGCTCAAGCTCGAGCTCAATGTGGGCTCCAAAAATTCGACCCCGGCCTCCACTCGCTTTTCTTATTCGGCGAAGGAGTTTTAACGAACTAGGTTCCGGGGTAAATTTTGGAAGGCAGATGGGTTTGTAGATAAGACACTACCCAGAGATTTCGCCCTCATTTTCTTTATTTGCAGTCTTTTACAACTGCAGTGGGAGGAAGAGAGAGGGAGAGAGAGAGAATGAGTATATTAGGCTGTCAAAATTTATTATTTGGTAGTATGTAGCCTTAGCCTGTCAGAGAAGAGAGAGAGAGAGAGAGAGAGAGAGAGAGAGAGAGGCAATTGTTTTTTGGGTTTGCCAGAGAGAGAATGAGTGTATTAGGCTGTTAGTATTTATTATTTAGTAGTTTGTAGCCTTAGCCTGTCAGAGAAGAGAGAGAGAGAGGCATTTGAGATTTGAGAATGACGCGGGATACGAAAATCTAAAATATACGTGGGATTTGAAATTGCAGAAGCGGGATTATTATTATATTTTTTCAAAATTTAAATTTAATAATTTCAAGCCGGCTCGCGAGCTCGCGAACCGAGCCTCGTCAAGCTCGAACTCAAGCTCATTTAATAAAAGAGCTCGAGTTTGAGCTTGAGCTCGAGCTCGTGGATCGATAAGTTAGGCTCGCAAGCTCATAAACGAGACGAGCTCGAGCCGTCTCGGTTCACTTACACCCCTACCTTGGAGTGGCTTAGAGGGTAGGGTACTCTATGGTGTTTGGTCATTTGGCACATCTCACACTGAAACTTTTCAATTTTTATTTTATTAAACGATCCAAGAAACATGGATTGTAGTATAACAAAGGATGTATTATCCATTTGAATATAATGGAACCAAATTTGTGTCATTTTTGTATTCAAATTTTTAGTTGAATAAGATTGAGGGACATGATTATTATTGAACATCTAGATAATGGAGTACCCTCTTATTGAACATCTAGATAATGGAGTACCCTCATTTCGTAGTATGCCCAATCATCCTAGTGGTTCAATCTTAAAACAAACAATGGGTAGGAAAAAACACCCAATTTAGTTCAGAATCATTATAAATGAATTTAGGTACGTGAGTGTAAATGATAATAGAAGGAAAGGTGCAAGTCTATATCGATTTTTTAGCAATAGCAACCAAGGTTTCATCAGCTACTTCTATTTTTTATTTCTTGGGCATGGTACATAGGAGGAGAATTTGGCTAAAGAGGTTATCATGTGTTCGATTGCTCCTGAGTCTATTATCCATATTTCATTTGAACTATTTTTAAAAGCATATGAGAGGTATAAAATAGAATACTCATCTAATTGAGTCATAAAGCATATGCATCTTAGTTTGTCAAAAATAGTAAAGAATGCACGAAATTTCTCTATATTTTATTGATAATGTTTAAAAAGGTGAAATCTAGAATTAAGGCAATTAACCTTAGCGACACGAGGCATAAGCCTCCAAACAAAAAATATAAATACAAAAAAAGCCTATAAATAAATCATAAAAACAACAAAAAATAAAATAAACCATCAACATAATTACTTATTTTAAAATAAATATTATTATAACACAAAAGTTTGAAATTACATTCAAATTAAGCACTCAAAATTTAAATACTTCACGAGGAGCAAGACCCAATGGAGACTCATTCTCACTTTTGCATTCTTCAGAAGAATCCTCGTAGCATGTCTCAAAATGATCTTCAAAATCTTCAACTACAATATATTTTTTTCTTACCCCCTATACTGATTAATATTGCATTAGATATAATTTAAAATGAATAACAAATTAATAACACAAAAAATAATTCATTATACTTAAAATTACCTTTCAATTTTTTTAAAGCTCCAACCCCATTTTACTTCTTCCTTTTATATGATTGTGAAGTAAAAGCTAGTCCTAGTCGGGTTAGAGGGTTTTAAGGCAGGTCAATTTTGGGTTGGACCAAACCCGACCCGAAAAACTCATTTTGACACCCCTACTCCAGCAAATATACTATTATATAAATGATAAAAAACTATAGCATTTGCTTCATTCATAATACTCTTTGCAAGACCTCTAATGTACACTAATCATAAGCATCAACATTATTTATCTTTTTTCTGCCGTTAAATACACAATTACTTTAATAATCTTTTATATCTCCTTAATCATCCAACACGTCTTCCAAAGAATGTAAGCTCTGTTTCTAAAATTCATATAAATTTTAGTGACAAACTTTTTAATGGAACTAACCACCCAATTCCATATTACGTTTGGTTTAATTAAAAAATTCTAATTTGCTTCTCTTAGCAACTTGTCTTAAAAGATTAACAAATGAGTCACCTTTCAAGTTAGACTATTTTATAATAAGGCAATTATTTTTTTATCGCTTTCTTTATACCCTAAAGATATACACCATATAACCACGATGTAGTTAAATTTATTTATGGAATAACCTTATAATACTTATAAAAAAATGTCCGTCTAAGTAGAAGTCAATTGGTGATTCGGTGACTTGACTTTTGAAAGTAATTAAGTGTTGGTTCTTGATTCTTAAGTATATCTTTGTTATTGAAATATCATATGTCAAAGCAAACTATTATACTTCTATCTTCTATTCCATAGTCATCATTAATCCTCTTAAAGCTGATCATCCAACAAAAACCTATATATCAATTTAAATAACCCTAATGATTATACTATATTTCTTAGGTATACATTATATTAATTCAATCAACCCTTCCCAACCTTGATTTTTAAATTATTACTAAACCGACTGAAAAAGTATAAGCATTAACCATATATATAATGTCATCATCAATAATTAACAACAATCACCCTCCCACTAGCTTCTCAACAATTTTATCTTTCAACTCTATACCATTGTTATCTCAAACCTGAATCCTATTTATAACTTTACCAGCATGCAATAACTAATAATCTTCCATAATATCCTTGTGCTGCTCCCCTTTTGATTTATTTATCACAAATAAACAATATGTGCTCTTCTTTTAATCATCCCATCCGCCAATTCTCATCTTTTAATCTAAGTCCTCAAATTCCAAGCTGCAAATATAATCTTAATTTTAGATCGAATGTGTTACTTGCAAGTGAAGGCCTACTCAGCCCTTCCATAGTTTTCACCATAATTATATTATGACACCGAATATATTTTTATTCTAAATAAAATTGACAAAATAAAGTAATGTCCCCAAGAAAAACTTAAAGAAATCTAACAAATAAGAAGAGATACTTAAGAAAGCTAACAATTAGATGGAAAGACTCTGTTGCAGATAATGAGATTTGACAAGTTAATCAAAACCGCAGAACTCAAGCAAATAAAAATAGATGAACAAATAAAAACCCTGGTATAGATCAATGCAAAAATGCTAGATGGATTGTCAGGATAACAGCTAACACATTTACGCCATTTGCAATGTCCTCAGCATAGAAAAACTCTTCATGTTTATGGCTATACCCTCTATAACATGGAATGTCCCATACAAAGTCTATCTTGGTATTGTTGCAACATGGATAGGATCTTTTTTACAATAGCTCTTATTTTTCTTCTAAAACTACAAAGAGTATGCGTTCATGAGTCTTACATGACACCTTTTTGCCCTCATGCTCTAATGTGCAAGTATTTTATGACCGTCATGTATGGCTCTTTTCTTGTATTGCCACGATCGACCTAATAGTAAATGGCAAGCATTCATATGGATAACACCACACCAAACTTCTTGTAATTTCTTGCCAATAGAAAATTACCCTAACCATTGAATCAAAACCTTAATTTTATTTTATTTTGCGCCAACAAGATAATTTTAAAGGCTTCAAACGATGGTTATACTAAAAAAATTGGCAAAATAAATTCATATCCACAAGAAAAAAGATAAAAAGCTAACATATAAGGTGAGAGACAGTTGCAGATTTATGAGGGAATTGAAAAGTTAATTAAAAGCACATAACTTAAGCAAAGAGAACATCTGGATCAGTGAATGAAATCCCTCGTATAGCTCTATGCAAGAATGCTTGACTGTCATGATAAGAGCTAAAACTGTCATATTACGTTGTGGTGTGACATTAATAAGTGAAGTTTTAAAAAGCATGTCTAGTTCTCACTGAAATCGGGTTAGGTCATGAGTTATTTCTTTTGAGAATCACCATAATACCAATAAAATTCAAATTTGTTTCATTTCATGAATTTTGAAACAAGTTGCATTTAGTTGCCGGTCTAACATCAACCTCAACTTTCTTGTCTCAGTTTGGAATCTACAAGGACAGTTTCTTAAGCTTTTCTTCTTTATAATTCAAAAGAAAAACCAAAACAAAGTAAAATAGTGAATGCCATGAAGATCAAACAAAATGAAAATGACTATATCCACATCTGATCCCTTTATAAGAGGTAATGTAAACTCTTGTGCTGCAAAATGATTCTATGGATAAAAAAAATAAAAAACAAAACTAGATAGTAGTTATAGCTAAAAAGTGGAGCAACAAGAGCATACCTTAACTGCCGATCCCAATTCGGCCTCATATATTGGAATGTCGTTTCTGCTAACAATGATGAAGCAAGCTGTGCTCGCCATTGTCTACGGCTCAAGATAACTACTAAGATTTCGGGGAGAAAAGGAACAAAAATGACAAGCATTAAAACAAAAAATAAAAACGAGTAAATCCCATGATCACTAAACAAAAACAATCAACTATTTTGCTCATATTGGCAATAGAAAGGAACAAGGTTGATAACATAATTTATTCTAATCAACTTAACTCTACACTTCGCAGCTAGAAAATATTTCACCTCACTTCGCAGCTAAAGGAAAAGTCTGCTGCCAATGATCTGCGAATAGATCATAATAAGAAAGCACCTATCAACCGTGAAAGATAAAGCCACTGACCTGATCTGTGGTTAGTCAATGGAAAGGAGCAGGAGACGAGATAGGTAGATAAGATCAAGATTTTCTCCTTCAGAGAAATCAGAATGCCATTCACCTCAGGGCGGGGTTTTGATTTTTATGGCACATACCCGATGAATTCATTTGTCAAACTAGTAAATTTACAGGTGTCCTAAGCGCACCAAATTAGAATTAATTAAGTGCATGTAGACAAAAACTTTGATATTGTTAGAATTCACAGAATTTGAGAATGTTAAAAAATACCTTCTGCTTATTATACAGAATTATCACTATTTATAGATCTATACAAGATGTCTTAATAAAGAAATAAATAACTTCTAAATGATACATAATTGCCTCAATATAATCCTTCCTAATTCAGCTACCCAAATATAGAAGGATATTGGTGTGATCTAGGTGAGCCTCCCATGGATTCTTATCCTGACCGTGGGATCAAATGCCAAGGGATGACTGAGATTTTGACACTCCCCCTCAAGCTGGAGACCAGCTTGCAATTACTCGCTCAGAGGTAGAGTTGCATTGGTTATAGATAGGATATCAACCACAAGAGATAGCCGATAATGAAGGCCGGTGATGGAAAACTATCCTCAAAATTCCGAAAATTAAGGCCAGTTGTGGGAACTTGTATTCCTCAGAAATCCAGCAATGAAGGCCGGTAGTGGGAACCTGTATTTCTCATAATTCCAGCAATGAAGGCCGGTGGTGGGAACTTTGTATTCCTCAGAAATTCAGGAATGAAGGCTTCTCAGAGAAAATTTTCCTTGTCGACAACAAAGGTCTATGATAAAGACTTTCTCTCCTTCCTTTTTGTTTCACTAAAAAAGAATTTTTTTCTTTCCTAGTTTAATAAACCAAACCAACCGAGCCTTAAAAAAAAGGCTTGGATCGGGACTAGGGCACGGGGCCGGGCTCCTCTCAGTGGAGACTCGTTCAGCTTCGTTGCTTTACAGTCGCTCCTTCGACTCGTTCTTGGTTGGTCAACTATCAACCTTCAACGTCTCTCCCGTTCGGCTTCAGATGCTTCACAGGAGGCGCTTCTTTGGCTCCTTTTGTGTTGTTCGTCTACGCTCGTGCAAGTTCAGACCCTGTCGACGCTGGTGTTTAGCGGAATTAAAGCTTCCGTCTGCGGTAGCGACTGGTAGGATCGAGGGTTTTGTCCGTGGTTGCACTGGCATTTTGAAGGGTCCGCGGCTTCTTTCAGCGTCAGAAGCTTGGAACATTCGGCAATGAAGGCCGCACGATTTTCTTTGGTTCTGATACCATGTTAGAATTCATAGAATTTGAGAAGGGTAAAAAATACCTTTTGCTTATTATACAAAATTATGCCTATTTATAGATCTATATAAGATGTCTTAATAAAGAAATAAATAACTTCTAATTGATACATAATTGCCTCAATATAATCCTTCCTAATTCAGCTACCCAAATACAGAAGGATATTGGCGTGATCCAGGTGAGCCTCCCACGGATTCTCATCCTGACCGTGGGATCAAATGCCAAGGGATGACTGAGATTTTGATAGATTTATTTGCTTACAATAGTTTTGAAAGAACTTTTAGGGTGATAGATTGATAGGTTGTTGTGAGACAATCAAGTTTGACATAAATCTTGTTAATTAAAGCTTTGTTTGGGAAGGCTTTCTTACTCTTTTTAAAGTAGCTTTCTAGGACAAAAACTTAAATTTTTTATACTAAATGTTGCTTTAAGAAGCAGAAAGAAAGCATCCCAAACGAATCCTAAGTGACTTATATAACATAATAATTCTTAAATTCTTAAATATCTCATATCAATGTAAAAAATATATTTTCTTTCTGCATTATTTAATTGAAAGTCTGTCCTTCAAAAATAGTCACAGTGAGCATTGTATCACAATTATGCAATAAAGTTTATTGTACAGCAATAATATCGATGTATTTCATCAATTTACTTGAGCATTCACTTCACCCATATTTATAAAATATAATAAATACATGACTGGATTCATATAGCAACCCCAAATAGTTGGGAATATGCTAATGAGAGGGATGATGATAATAAGAATGATGGTGATGGTGGTAAAGATGTTCAGAAAAAGAATATAATTCAAAATGAGGTGCTTTGATAATCATTTTCTAACCGTACCTCTACTATAATAGTAAGTCATCTTTTATAATTGTTTGGGGTTGAGTTAATGAATCACTTATTTTTCATTTGTTCACATCATTGTTGGCCTGAGTGTGGCATATCCTTTGATGTAGGCAAAGGGGGGTCAACTCAAACCCAAAATAAGTTGGTTTTGACTTCCCTTGAGCTTACAAGCTCAATAAAATTTGAGCTGGAATTTAGCTCATTTATGAGCTAATTTTTAGTTCATTTATTGAACTAAAGTTAGCTCACTTATTAGCTAGTTTTAGTTCATTAGTTATCTTAATTAATGTAATTTTTATTATAGTTTTTTATGTCTTAAATTTAAGTTTGTCTCTTGGGATTTCAAAATGGCTTTTGGATCCCAAGGATTTTGTTTTCCCGTGCTTTGGCTCCTTGGCTTCCACGGTTGGCTGTTTCCGTGCATTGGCTCCTTGGTTCTCACGTGGCTACTGGTTTTCCGACTGGGGGCCTTCCCGTGGCTTTTGGCGCCTCGGTTCCGTGCGGTCTCTTTGGTTCCCGTGGCTGCTCCTTCGGTTCCTTGGCTGGGTTGTTTTCCCGTGAAAAGTAGGGGGCTTTTCCGTGGCTTGTGATATTTGGATTCTTATGGGAATTCAATTAGTGTTGCTATTTGTATCCCCCTTTCATACCTATAAATATGAGGGGTTTTGTAATGTTTTAAAAGTAAGTGAAAATGTGATTTTTGGAAGCTATAACCTGCGGGTTTGCTTAGAAAAGCTTGCGAGCTTGTTCCATTCTCCTTCTCATCTCCTCTTTGGAAATCTTGTGAGCTCTTTCCACCCTTCGTCTCAGCTTCTCACATCTTTCGTCTCTCCGCAAGTGACCACCTCACATGTATCCCTCTTCTCAAAAGTAAGCAAGTTTAGGATGTCTTGTTAGAGTCTTTGTTTGTAAGTTGTTTAATTTTAAGAGTTGTAAGTCTTTATTTATAAAAGTGTTTGTTTATATGAAATGTAAGAGTTTGTTCTAAAATTTCTAAGTTCTCTCTTCTTTTTGGATATTTTGTGTCTTCTTTTATATAGGAAGCCATTTTTGTTTTTTGTGATAAAAATTTTGGGTCCCTCTCCCAAATTTTTGATTGCATTATCCTTGAATAACTTTTATCCACATGACTTTAAATCTACACCCTTTTCCTTCCTAATCATCTGGCATTAAAATCTACACCCTTTTCCTTCCTAATCATCTGGCATTAATTTTATCATATATCTAATGGATGCATTTTGTACACATTGATGTATGTATCCAAACCACCAAAGTCTATTTGAATTATTTTATCTTCAATAAATTTCTCTACAATCATGATTATAATACCATCATTATTTAATCTATCTTTCCTAATTTTGTTACATATTCATCTTAAGATTTTCATTGCTGCAACATCCAACTTAGCTATCAAAAATTTTTTCGTTCTTCAATGCTAGAATTCATACAACATTACTAGTCTTATTGCGGTTACATGAAATTTGCTAATACTAAGATTTTCTCATCTGTGATACTCCACTACTCTCCATTCTAACTAACAAGTCCCAACTCTTTAAGTTATAAAAATATTTATCTCCCTAATTTTATGCATGATAAATCCAAATATAACACACCTCATATCATTTTATTTTCTAATAATATTGATTTATAATTGTTTACATCAGCCTTCCGATGAGCCTGTTGGGAGAGTAGATGTTTTAGATTTGGCCTATGCTAAGAAACAAGGAGGTAGACCTAAAAAGACTTGGTATGAAAAATATTAGAAATTACATTTTTTTTATTAGATTTAAATGAGAATTTGACACTTGAGAAGATATAATGGAGTAAATAATTCATGTAGCCGACCCTACGTAGTGGGACAAAGGCTTGATATTGTTGTTGGCAATTGTTTACATCACATTTGCTTGTATTATATATCACATATTGAACATTTGGTCTTACATATTATAAATACCCTATCTTCAAAATATTTTTTCCATTGTTCTAATTTTTTTTATTTTAATAAATATCTCCCCAATTAGAATTATAACATCTGCAAAAAGCATACAACAAGATACCATATTTTGAATATCCCTAATAAGCATCTCTCCATAACAAATAAAAAAAGACATGAACTCAATTATTATCCTTGGTACAATCCTATAAAAACCAAAAGCTATGAAGCATTTTCACAAATAATATTAATATTAATTAGTGCTGTATCATAGATATCTCTAACAACTTGAACATATTTTTGACACATCTTTCTTCTTTAATGCGCACGAAATCAATTCTTGCAACACTCAATCATATGCATTTTCAAGATCAATAAAAATTCTTTTGTTGAACTAAAACTTTTCCATCAGTTATGTTAACACAAAAAATGCTTCCATAGTTGAACTTCCCAACATAAAATTAAATTGAGTATCTGAAACAAATGTTTTTTAATTCTATCTTCCACTACTCTCTTTCACATCATCGTTGCATGATTTATAAGTTTGAATCATCTATAATTAGCACAATATTGATCATCTCATTTGTTCTTAAATATTGCACAATATTGATCATCTCATTTGTTCTTAAATATTGATACTATAATGCTTATTATCCAATAATTTGGCATCCTCTTAGTCATAAAAATTTCATTGAAACAATTTGTCTAACAAGTTACTACAATGCCCTATAACTCTCCAAATATCAATCAATATCTAATGCAGATCTAAAGTTGTACCTCGATGCATCTTCTCCAAAGCTAACTCCAATTATTCTTTTTATGAATATATAATATACCTCATAGTTTTGTTCATGGTGCTCTTCAAAAATAATTTCGTTCTTAGACCATTGCTTTAATAATTCTTAACAAAAGCATTTTGTCCTACTTTGGTATCTTTATATTTAACTAAGATCCTCTGATATTTATTTCTAATATATCTGATTTAATCAAAGTATTTAGATATATTATCTCATTTTTTTATCTCTTTCTCCTTCACTCATACCAAGCATATTATGTAAATCATCAAAAATTGTACTTTATGTTTGGTTAATACAAGCCTTCTACCTTTCTTCTGATCATTAAAAGCTTTAGTAATATTCATTTCTTATCCTTCTTTAAAGCAATTTTATTTTCCATAATAATTTTTATACCTACTCACTCGATCATCAAGTCTCTTTATTAGTATTTCATTTGTTTTTAAAGTCACCTAAATTTCTATGGCAATTGCCTCAATTAACTAATCATCTTATCTCACATCAAGTTTGGGTTAACTCAAAGAATTCTAATTTGTTTCTCTTAGCATCTTCTCTTGAGAGACCGATATATTTTCACCTTCCCGATTTCACCATCATATCTTAAGGTAATTACTTTTTATATTGTTTTCTTTAACTCTGAAAATAGACATCAATAATTATGACTCTATTGTATGATCCAAATCTCTCCCATAATCACCATCCAGCCATTGCAAAAAAGTTTTTTTTTAAGTGAAAAGAAGTTTATTTACGATTTAGTGGCTTTGTTTTTGTGAGTATTTAACCGTCCATTTCTTTTCTAAAATTCACTACTATAAAATCAAAAATAATTTCTCCCATTGTATTTTTATCTCTGATTTTATACCCATTATGAATCTTCTCATAGCCCATCATAACAATTTTTTTATGACCATTAAAATCACCTCTAATAAATATTCTTTTTTCTCAGGTACACAACATCCAACTTTTCAAAAACTATAACAACAATAAGCCTTTATCCCACTTTATGGGGTCGGCAACATGAATCTTTTTTCTCAATTGTGTCCTATTAAGACTTAAATTCTCATTTAAATCGAATAAAAAGATCATGTTTTATACTTTCTAACCAAGTCCTTTTAAGTCTACCTCTACCTTCCTTAACATAGGCTGAATCTGATAAATTTACTCTCCTAACAAGATTATCAGAAGGCCGGCGGTTTATGTGACGAAATCATCTAAGGCGACTCTCTCCAAACTTATATACTACTGGAGCTACTTCAACCTTTCCACATATATACTCATTTTGCATTCAGTATTTGGGTGTAAAGCCACTCATCCACTTGTGTATCCTCAATTCTACAGCTCTTAATTTAATTTTATGTTTCTCTTTTAATGGCCAACACCTGCATTGCAAGTCTCACCATCATCATATAAAATTTTTCGTTAAGTTTGAGAAGTATTTATCTATCACACAACATGCCCTATGCATTCTTCTAATCCAACCATCCAAGTTGAATTATGCTAATAATATCCCCATCTATTTTACCATCACTTTGAACAATATACCCGATATATCTAAAATGTGTACTCTTTTTAATGACTCGATCACCTAATGTCACAATCCCACAATTAGATCTATTACTACTAAATTTGCACTCCATGCATTCGACTTTAAATATACTCAAACGAAAATCTTTAAACTCTAAAGTTGACATGCACAATTCAAGTTTTTCATCAAATCCCTCTCTAGTATATCAATAAGAAGAATATCATTAGCAAAAAGGATACACCAAGGTACATCATCTGGCAAAGGTCTACTAAAACATCCTTTAATAAAGCAAGAAAATATTGGTTTAAAGTTAAACCTTGATTTAATCCAACTGAAATAGGAAATTACTTGGTCAAACCATCTTGTGTTTGAACACTAGTAATAGCTTATGCATACATATCCTTAATGACTTAAATATAAACATTATTAACTCCTTCCTTTTCTAGAACTCTCTAGAGCACTCCTCCTGGAATTTTATCATATCTTTTTTTTCTAAATCAATAAATATCAAATGTAGATCCTCTTTACTCTCTCTATACTTCTCCATAAAACCTCTCAACAAATGTATAGCTTCCATAGTAGGCATACCTTGTATAAATCTAAACTGATTTTGATAAACATTAGTATCACATCATAAACCTTTGTTCAATTACAGTCTTCTATAATTTTAATGTATGACACATTAACTTAATTCCTCTATATTTTGTACTCTTGTGCATTACATTTATTCTTAAAATAACGAGTTAAGTCAAGAATCCTTGATCCCTTGAGCATTTCCATACATTTTGTTGAAATATCATCAAGTCCTACTTCACACTTCATTTTCTTTAACGTTTATCTATCTTCTATTTTACAAATATGATGATAAAAATAAAAACATATATTTACATTTAGGGTGTTAAGGTCACTAAAGTAAATCGCATTCTCATAACATTCATTGAAAAGTTTATTGAAATATCTTGTCCATCTATGTGTCTTCTAAGTAAAATATTTTTTTATCTTCATCATTAGTGCACTTCACTTGAACTAAAATCTTACTTATCTCTTTGCTTGGCTAACTTATATATATATTTTTGTCCTCTTTAGTATCTAATCAATTATATAAATAATTAAAGCAATTTTTTTTTACATCACATATTGCTTTTCTTAAACTCTCTATGAGTCATTATTTTAAATTGCACAATATGAGGCTCGTCTCACTTTTTATGAGGGCGCCTCACTTTGATTGAGACGTGATTCATCTCGCTAGCGTGCGACGTACACTTATATATATATATATATATATTATTATTATTAAAACTTGCATAAAATAAATCCCATAACAAATCACACATTCATGCACCCCCGAGCCACAACAATTATCTCTAAATTGCTTTGACCTCCAACCCGCCGCCTCTGCCACATTCACCACCATCGCAGTCGAAGTGAGGATCACTTACAAGCCGCACAGCACCATCCTCCCATCTTAAAGTTGATGACAAACATTCATGAAAGACGATGACAAATGAAATAAATGAAGAAGTTAATTGAGAGGCATTTGACACCACAGGGTGAGACAGGGGAGAAACCAATTTGTTAAGACGACGACTCAAATAAAGATTCCCTCGGTGATGACAGTGCAGATGATTTCTAGGTTGTTGTCAAATATTTTAACTTTATTTAAGAATTAAATGTTGATGAGTAGAGAACCGAGAAAAAAGGAATTTGAAGTTGAACTTAATATTATATGATACTTTTATGCATTTCCATAAACATAAATTTAGAGTTTTAGCATTTTAAATTTTAATCACACACCAGACTTACATGTAGGAAAAGAGAACCATCAAGAAAAAACTTTTTTTTTACTTTGTATGATTTAATGTGCCACAACAGAGAATAAAATTAATACTATTATTAACTTGTTCGATTAAAAACTCACTTAACAATAAGAAATTTTTTTAATATATATGCTTCATCTAATTTAGCTTCAAAACTAGACATCTATAGAACACGTTAAGAAAAAATAAAACCCCAAAGCACCTGTTGTGTGGTGACCATGTGCTTCCTTCGAGGATGAAAGTGTTAAGGATGTGCACAGAGCAAGAGGAAGGAATTGGGGAGAGGTAAGCTTGAGAATTGTAGCATAACTGGAGAGATAACTATAGATGAGGATGAGAGAATGAGAGAGAGGGGATGGTGCAGAAGACAAGCGAAAGGGAGAAGAGCAACGGAGGCAAATTGTAAGTGGAGAGACCAAGAACAATGGAGGCAGAGGTAGAGAATCAGAGAACTCCCACGAGTTAATTTAAATAGTTGGGGGTCACTTAAAGTTGATTATAAAATTGTCATTGAAAAAACTACTTTGGGACGTTACTATGGCTTGAAAATTTCATGGTTGTTTGGGTGAAAGATTTCGCCAATATTAGGCTAAATCTTGCCAAACAATTTTTTAAGTCACATAAATCCCGCTACGGTTTTTTTTTTCTTTTAAATCTTTATTATGCATAAATCCCGCTACATTCTTAAAATCTACTTTTATCCCATTTTAGGTTAAATCATGAATTTAGTAAATACCGGGAAAAATAGGATTTAAGAGATTTACATGTCTCTTCTTCTCCTTCATTTAAATTGTAAGTCTATAAAATATATGTCAAACTATTTACTAAAATTTAACCAAATAACATTCATCATGCCAATTATTTTTTCAGAATTTACCCCTCCATGATTTACTAAATTTGAATTAGCAATATTTACTAAATCCTACGAATGGCCAAATGGCACTTTAATGTTGCTCAGAAAATTTAGCTATGAAGTATTTTGCTGTTTGATTAGGTTGTTGTGTTGTTGTATATGACCAAATGACCAAAATGCCTCTTTTGTTGTCAGTGCTCATATGAAGAGGAGCGCTCTGACGTATAATGCATTCTAAAAACATTCTTCTAAAAATAAATTCTCATAAAAAAATCTTAACTAAATTACTTGCTTTGCAGATAATATCAGAACTAAACACAATTTCACTGTCAAAAAAAACAATTTCACCAAAGAAAACTCATTACTTCGCGGATCTTCGTGGAGCAATGGAGTCGCGTCTGCAGTCCGAGGGGGCGAAAAAGTTGAGGGCGGATCTTCAAGCGGCAATGGATTCGCGACCGTCCTCAGAGAGAGCAGCCGCGATGGAGTCGCGACCGGAGAACTCGACAGAGTAAGGGCGTATCTTCCTGCGTCGAGGGGGTGAGCGAGACGATCCAGTGAGCCAAGAGCATCAAAACATCTTTCGTATCGGGGTTTACTCAAATTTTATCGCCCAAAATTCAGTCGATAAACCGCGACTTCCCCATTGGGGATGATTTAACTTTATATGCCCCTCATCAGAATTGGAGCAATATGGCTGTGTATTTTTAAAAAGGGGATTTACATGCATATCATTTCATTTTATATTATCTATATATCTAATCTTTAAAATTTTAATATTATATATCTATTAATCATAGAATAAATATGAATGCATAAAATAAAATATTAAAGTTTATAAGATGATTTGAGTGGTATATTTGATATTACAATTTTATATGAGTTGTAGGAATGTAATATTAAATTTCTAGGTATTAAATATGTAAATAGTATGCAATAAATTAGTATGTATATAAATCCCTCTTTTAAAAATATATATATTTAAAAGTTCTTAGGTGATTAAAATACCTCATTATACTTGTATCTCATCATAAATGAGTAAAAATATCTCACTTTTTTAGATTAATTTTGTTCATTTAGAGGTTATTTGGTTGGCTAAAAAAGAAACGAAGTGTGAAAGAAATACTGTCTAAAATAATATTTTGAAGTTGTTTGGATAAGTGTAAAGTAAATTCATGTAAATGATATTTTTTGTTTGATTTGAAGTAAAATAAATGTAGTTTAAAGTCTAAACATGGTAGCAATCGGTGGGTGGTGACTACTACTACTGGCAGTGGGTGGCTTGTCGGCTGGTGGTAGATGATGAAAGCGGATGGAGGATGTAGTAATGACTGGCGGCGATAGGTGGTTGGTGACGGTGACGATGACAGTGACGGCAGGCTGTGGCGATGGTCATAGATGGTGACAGACAGTTGTGGTGGCTACCTGCAGCAAGTGACGACTGCAACTGGCGGCGATGACGACATATGATGGTGGTGGCCGAAAGCAGCCGGCGGTGGGGTGGTGGCGGTGGCCAACGATAGTGGTGGTGGCATGTAACGATGCATAATCTAATTTTAAAAAATCCTTCTTTTTTCTTTTAATTAATATAAACCAGAGCTATCTAATCTCTTTTATCATTATAAATATCAGCATAAATAAAATTATTAATCAAAATATTAATATATTTATACATGGCTTATTCATTATATCAAAAATCATATACACTACTCAGGAAGCATAAAATCCTATAATGTATATCTAAATCTTGAGTACAAAAGAATAATGAAATAAAGGAAACTAAACCCAAGGAATCATGATCAATCTCTCCCTCCCGATTCTCAGCCTTGACCAAAAATTCTTTAAACCACATATAACGAGCTCAACAGCCCTACAAGTCACTAAATCCTACAACTGAATCCAAAACACAGTAAAAAAATAATATGCATGTTATTAGTCAATTCATGATAGTGACATTCACATGATTATGAATCAGTGCAAAAATAGTAAACTCATATACAATAATAATAAAGTTAGTACACCAGTAAGATCGTAGGGTTACATAAGCCAATAAAATAGTACAGTGCATAAATAGTAAAGTTTATAAATAAGTGAAACCAGTGCAATGTTCAATCATAAAGTGGTGACCAATTATATCTTAATAATACTATTCAATAAGTAGAGAAAACTATATAAAAAGTGATAGTAATAGTGTATCACATGATTATGTATCAGTGAATCAATAAACATTGAATCAAATAGTAGTAGTAGCACCAATGAATCAATAATAGTGATTCAAAACTGTATCAGTATTAGTGTCGTCGATATCACTAATAATAAAGACGCACAGTAACAATAACATTAACAGTAGTGGTAACAATACAACAATACAATAATAGTAAGATCGTATAATAACAATGTATAAGTAGCATGCATTTGAGCAATTACACTAAACATATACAAGTCCTAGCTAAAGCGTTGTTTTTCGAGTATCAATATATGTATCAGTAATCAATAACCATTGGCTCGGTAACAGAGTCGTCACTCTGTCTGTCGGTACAATAATCATCTCCTTATAACTCTCAATCAGTGATATCAACCCATAATATTTTCAAAAAAAAAATTATCAGCCCATCATTTTGTATAGATCAGTTAGTCTCCAACCAACGACAGTGAATAACTAGTCTTTTTTTCTTTGTTAAAACCCACAGAATGGCCTACACGTTAATATAAAAAAAAATGTTACAAGGACCTTAATAGGAACCTCCAGCTTGCTAATGCTTAAAAGAGCTATAATATATATATATATATATATATAAGATTTGAACTCAATATTTTTTGCTAATGCTTAAAGAGCTATAATATATATATATATATATATAAACCTAGAAGCCAGTGGTTCATAATACTAAAGATTACAAAAAAACCTAATAACATTCTAGTGCTGTAAGAGAATAACTAGTCATTACTTATTTTAACACACATTATTTTCATAATATTATAGTAGCAATAACAACCATCTATTTCTAAACTACACACAAGTATTCATTCCAAATACCTATTTCAGCAATATGATTACAATAAACTGTCAATTTCTATTTAAGGAAATTCATATAAAATGTAATATCTTTCATTCTATTAGGTGAAATTTAGAAATATTACAATCAAAATTTGAAGAATATGTAGTACAATAACATATAAACAGTTACACAATGGAAGTTCGTTAAAATTGGAGAAAATGCAATAAAAATATAATTTTCTCATTCTCTCTCCTCATTCCTTCTCCCTCTCTCCTGATTTCTTCTTAGGCCAGAGTTGGAAGGAGGCGGTTGGTGGTGATCAAGCGAGCTTGCTTGGGGTGTAAGCTATTCTCACTTAAAATTAGACAAGTACGGTTTACCTAAAAAATAAACTAAAATGATTTACACTACATTTATTTTACTTTACTTTGCATTCCTTTTTCATCCACCTAAACACCAAAATTTTCAAAACCCCTGCATATGAAATAATTTACATCCATTTGGAATCCAATCAAAGAGCCCTTTAATGTTTTCATCATTATCAACATATCTTTGTAGGAGTCGATTTTTTTATGAGAGACCACATATGTGAAGTTTGAGTTTTTTATCTGTCCATCAATGACTTAAACTTTTATAGATAATATTTTTTGAGTTTGCATTGTGTTGCACATTTTAAGTTAATTGATGAAGATATAAAACAAAGTTATATAGAATATTAAAAAGTGTGTTTATATACTTAATAAAATATATGTACAAATTATGTTAAAATTTATTCAAATCATAATTTAATATTGTTCAAATAGCCAAATAGTTTTTATTCGAACAATGTTCAAACATAATTTTATGAAAAATGTATGATAATGTATTAGTAAGTAGATATTTTAACTTAGTCTAAATAAGATGCATTCATGCCTTCAAATATAATTCAAGCACATGTTGAATATATCTAATCATTGTTCGATCATTATTTAATCACATTCAATCAATGTTAGAACTTATTCAAATATGATTTGATTAATTTCAATTTATGTTCAAGTAACTATAAATTTATAGGCTAACAAAATCTTATTTTGTAGATAAAATCAAGCATTAAATTTTTGTATTGTATGGCGGAGAATGCAATGAAGTTATGCAAGCTAGTTAGATATTCATCAGAGTCCTACACAGGGTCCTGGTTGAATACCCATTGGGTACCCACGCTCTGTGCGGGCTAGCTTCGCCCAGCCACCCCCACTCATAATATTTTTCAGGATGACATACCCACCCATACCCATGCGTTGTTCGACCTTAGATGTAAAAGAAATCCTGCAGAGAATTGAAATGTAGAAGACAATAACAGAATAAAAGTATTTTCATATTCCCCAAATGCCTGTAATATAAAATACATGGTTTTATATAATGATGCAGGGGGCAAGTTGTTAGAGTGCAGCATAATATGTTATATGAAGCTTGTGGTGCATTAGACTAACGTGTTAACAAGCCGCACAAGTCATTGTTCGATCGGTAGAATAATAGATCATTCACGTGAGCGGGCTTTCGACTGTTGGGCTTCTTAGTCAGTGTGTTGCCGGCGTCTGAAAAGTTGTTCTCAGACATGGAGCTGGCGGCCGTAATGCATAAAATAGAGTTCGTGACTAGTGCCATGATCAGGAGCGTCTTGATGCCCACGAGTCCCCACCACTTCAGGACGTCGAACTCCCTCTAGTGGCAAATTATATATTATATCAACAAGCAGATGATTCCTGCACTGCAAAGGGTGTTTGGTCTCCTTGGAGCTGATGTTAACAAGTGGTTTTTTGCTATACCTCGTCCAACCAGACCTGCTACTGAGTCGGATATGAAACAGTTATAGCTGTCAAGATATAAGTCCAGATTGCATTAGCTAGGTCCTGAGCGCTAGCACCGGGTGTATAGTACATGTCCCTTATAGATTTATGATCCAAGGCTGGTCACCGCACATCTTCTATTCTTTTAGGCTGACCTTATGCGCCATGTAGGTCGTGAACTCTAGGCCGGCTCTGACTTACAAGCTATTAGGGGCAATGTTGGTGGCCATCTCAGGATCATCATCATCTTTAGGCAAGTCATAGTAAACTGAGTAGGAGGCGGTGGTGTCTATCCGTGCCTTCTTAGCCGGCGGTGGCCTTATGCCATCGTCATCTTCATCGATGACTGAGTTAAGGCCATGGCCGTACTTGATCATATATGCCTTCAACTTCTCCTTGGTCTCGTCAACCTAATCAGCATTGATGTTCAACCCATGCAAACGCATCTTCATGACCGGGTCGAGCATCGTCGCAACGATATGGACGGGCTGGAGCACAAACTTCTCCTCGAAGATGGGTTAGATGATCTCCCTGAGGGTTTATCCACCATATTGAGTACCCACCCATATCCACCCATAAGTCTATGAGTATACCCATACCCACCCATATCCATTGGGTATGAGTGGGTTCATGGGTGGGTGTGGGTATGGGTGCTCAATGCAGGGCTCTGATATTCATTGAAAAATGGTGAAAATAATCAAATATATAGAGAAATATTTTGTTTAATTATCTCAATAATATTTCATGGAAAGTGACAGATGTTGATAAATGACAATTTAATCTGAAATTTGAGGTGACATACCACTTTCATGAAGCACAATCAAATGCATCAACTAAGCCAATTATGGATGTTGGTATATATATATATATATATATCTTAAATTAGCTTTATTTATCCAATAAATACGAGGCACTAATATGTGTTATCACCACTCCTACAAAGACTTAACTATATTTCATTGCGCAAATAAGACTGATGAAATTAAGTTCACCAGTGTCGCCCCAATATAATCCTACGATTATTGTCATCTGATTATGGTCTTCCAATCATCACTGCCTAACTATGATCCTTCAATGGGCTAGGTTGGGCGCAAGATGGCGATGACGATGGCGACAAGGCTCTAATATGCATCATGCCGGTCACCATGATGGAGGTGACAGATTGTGGTGGCAATGTGGGGACATATGGTTGGGGGTAGTCGGTGCAAGTTGACCGGCATGATGCACGAGATTGGGTGAATATGAGTTTATGTTAAAATAATTAAAGTTACTAAACAATAATGAAATATATTTGAAAAAAAATGATGCCATGGAGATGCCAAGGGCAGGTCTGTCAAGAAAAAACAGAAAAAAGCTTGCCTTGCGAGAATAACTCGTTAAGAAATATGTGAAATATGTTCTATTCGTGAGCGAACTTTTATTTGGTCCGGTCTCAGGACGTAGCTCTGCATTCGGTCGCCAGTAGAATCGTGTCACGCGTTCTCACTATTTACTGCGCGTCCCGACAACCCGACCCGGAACGGACCTAGGATGGCTCGTTATTCCTTGATTTTGCTAGGTATTGCTCGGTATTGGTCGATTTTGCTCGACAATAACCAATACCGAGCAAATACCGAGTTGTACCGAGTTTTTCTAGAAAAACTCGGTACAACTCGGTATTACTCGGTATTGATCTTCACAGAGTGATATTTCTCGTTATTGCCAAACAATACCTAGCAATATCGAGCAAATACTGAGTAATACCTCGTAATACGCGAACATAATATTCCTGGGTTCCGGTCCGAATCAAGTCATCGGGCCGCGAGGTAAAGAATAAGAGACATATTATTGAGGGCGGAACGTACCTCTAGTTCCCGTCAGAGTACCTAATAATTGCTCATTCGTGAGCTGCCGTCGGCCAACGCGAATAATAGGTTTTATACGGATTCGTCTTATCTTAGACAGTGAGGGACTGCCTCCAAGTTATGTTGCTTGCTGTTGTACTGGCCGATAGAGCGAAAACGAAGTTGGAACAGGTATTCTTCTCTGCAATTGCCTCTCTATTTCTATAATTTGTCTTCTGTTTGGTCTGTCGATGCACTTCCTAGGGCCTTAGGCCTGTCTAGGTTTTGCTTTTCCTCGTCGCCATTTCATCGTTGTTGCTTCGGCTTCGCGTGCTTCGCGTGTTTTGAAAGGGTTGATAAGGAAACTTCTTCGCCTCCTTGCGTTGTTCCTGTCGGATGGGAAGTCACGACGGGAGCTGACCGCGAAATTAACAATCTTTCTCCTCTTTTGCGCGCTTTTTTGGATAAATCCCGTAAATCCTCCGAACTACCGTATTTACTAAATCCGGAATTTTATGCAAAACGGAGAAGAAACGGGAATGAAGTTTCTGTAGGATTTAAAGTTGTCATTTTTGCTTTTTGGTAGGATTTCTGCTAAATCCTGCATCCGAGGGTCTGTTTGGTTACAAGCGGGATGTAAGAAATCCTATAAATTTGATTTAATGAATCCTGAGAAGTTTAACTTTTGTGAACAGTCTGGCTATTTGTTTTAGAATTGGAAGACTTCTTTGATCCTTTACAACTTATGAATGTGGATTTTTGGTGCTCTCACCCATAGTCTAGGCATCCAAAAAATAGTAGTCACTGCTTATCTACAACTAAATATAAATTTCTTAATGATCCTTCTACTCAGAAATATTTATAAGTGACATGAAGAAAACTTTAGGGGCATGTTACTTGAGTTTTATCGAGTGTCTAATCAACCATGAACGGTGCATCAACGCCATAAATATATTGTCATCTGCATCTTTGCTAGGATCTTCTTCTCTATAACCAGCATAGAAGTTTTGGAAAATTTGTACATTGCATATCTTTTTTTAATCTGACAGTTCTTCAGTACAATTTTGAATGCATTTAGTGTTTTTTTATGTGAAATGATTCTACCTATTGTTGTTACTTGATGAATACGTAGGTTGACTTGTGCTGGTATTTCTTGCAGACTTTATTACTAGGTTGTCTCCATTTTTATTTTGATTAAATGGCAAATAGCAAATATGAGTACGTGAAAAAGTTTGAAATGGAGGACAAGCTTCCAGCTTGTAATTGGATTGTTGTAAGAATTGATGGACACAAATTTCATCGGTGAGCATTTATTTTATGAAGACTAAATTATGTTGTCATTGCTACAGCTAGTAGTAATTAAATTTTGTCCTTATTCAACTATTCAAGCACTGTAGTCAAAATTGTTTTCTTGTTTTCCTGTTCGTTGGGGAACTTTCTTGTAATTTCAATGCTTTATATAGTCATGTATGAATTGATTGTTTTTATGCTTGTCTTTTTTTTTTTCTCATGGAAGAAGCCATCGGTTGTAAGTTTTAGTCAGAAGAATATTCTAGGAGTTCAATTTACTGTTTCCTGTTATTGTTGTTTGAAATAAATCTATCTTGAATTTGGGAACTTTTAATAATAAATATTGTTTAAAATGGTTATTATTCGTTGGATATAAAGTGTTAAACATTTGAAGATATCTATCTCGAAGCACTGAATGTTGGAGATAACTTAGAAGGGGTTCTAATGATTAGGCATGTTGGAAACTGTGGAGTATCTACCATCCAAGACAACCGAAGAATGTTAATGAGATAAATAAACATTTTAGAGATACCAAAAGATGAATCATAGGTGAAGTGCGGGGTATTTGAAGTTATTTCTTTGTTTTGAACAAAAATATATTCTCTTTGTTTGTCCCTGATGTTCCCGTGGGCACAATTAAACAATTCATTTACTTTGTTGAGGTGAGGAGGATACTGGGAGTTATGATCCCTAGGTTGCCATAATGGACTACGAATCCTTCAGTCCTTTGTGCTTGTGTTTGCTTTGAAAGTATCATCTAGTTATCATCATCTACCCAACCTTTGTGACGCGCCACAACACATCCAACTTCTCTACTACATATCAGCAAAGTGGGTAAAGTTGTAGCATGGTTGCATCAGCGGTGCCATAGGTGAGCGCAAATCTACCTAGTTAGTCCAACTAGTTTGTAGGTTCATGTTCATGGATTTGTTAATGGTTATAAGTTATTATGGACTTGCAGTGTTTCTTAAAATATTCTTGTGCTTATTTTCCATCTTTTGCGTTTGGTTATGCAAGATGGATTAATGTACAACTACTACAATTATAACATTAGGCTCTGGACTACATGACATCAAAGGTATCTTACGCATCATCATGGCTATTTTTCACAGACTATACTCTTGAGTTTAAGGACTCATTATTTTTTTTTTGTTGGGGCTGTTTGGTTAGAGGTAAAATGGGTTTCTCTCTCTCTCTCTACATACATATATATATATATATATATATATATATATATATATAATTTTTATTGATGTTTTCTTTAAATCGACATAATGTAAAATTTAGGAGCATTATAAATACCCCAAAATGATTTTTGAAGTTTAAATGAATGCGAAGTCTACAAATGTACATGGATTTTGATTATTTAGGTTTGGTTTTATGTAAAACAAATGCAGATTATTTTTCTTAGGATTTTGTACTACCCTAAAAGGTCCCTTTTTAACAAATTCTAAATTTCACCCTCATGGGGCAAATCCGGAATATATGAATTCAGAATACTTGAAGCCAAATAACCCCTTAATTTTTTTATTTTTTCCATTAAGTTTCATATGCTATGCGTGTTCTATTATCAGAAAGTGGCTACAATCCCTCATGCCTTAAATATTGTATTTATATGCTTTGTTCTTATCATTATTTATTTTTTTGATGAAATATATGTGAACTACAATTAACAATACTGTATTTATCTACTTTGTTCTTGTTATTATCTAATTTGTGAGGGAAAGTATTTGATTTCCAATTATGAGATGACTTCCTATCTCTCATATAACTTTCTTTCTTGTATTTTGTAGATTTTCTGATGATCATGATTTTGACAAACCTAATGATGAGAATGCCCTGAACTTAATGAACTCATGTGCAGTTTCCATGGTTGAGCAATTTTCAGATATTGTTTTTGCTTATGGTGTTAGCGATGAGTATAGGTAAAATCTCAGATCATGAAATTCTTAGCTATATCAAATTCTGAAGTAGAAGAAAAAAAATTGAAGATCAAACTAACAATTTCATTAGATGCCAAAGTGAATTGAGTTATAAAATTAAAATATTTCTTAATGGCTAACTAGTAATTCTTATAGATTAATTTGTTCTACTTTATGCCACTAATCAGAATTCTCTAATTACTGTGACCTTTTACCTGGATATTAAATTGCATAACATTATCATTTTTTGGATAGTTTTGTGCCTCATTCTTTTTCTCATGTAATGTCCCCTTCCTTAAGAGGACATTTTATTTTAAAAGAATTCTCACTAATATCCTATCATAACTAAATTGCTTGCCATACAAATTCAATCTTTGATGAAGGGACCAACCGAATTAGCACTTAAGTTGGTTTTTGAATTATAAAAAGAGTCTGATTTTTGGTTATCTTTCATAGAATTATAGGCTTTTTCAGTCTGCTATTTGTTTCTTGCACAGCTTTATATGGAAGGAGACCAGTCAGTTTTACGATAGAAGGGCAAGGTTTGTACCATAAGCTGGATATACTATTCAATTGAAATAGCTTCAAGCTTATAGCATCTCTTTTTTTTTTCCAAATGTCATCTCTAATGCACTTTTGTGCCATGATATGTTTCTTTTGGTTTTATTTACATGCAGTAAAATACTTTCTCTCTCTGTATCGTATTTCACTTCTATGTATGTAATGAAATGGAAAGATTTTTTTCCGCACAAAGACTTGAAGGATCCACCTTGTTTTGATGGACGGATTGTGTTGTATCCTAGAGTAAAGATTGTTAGGGACTATCTCTCTTGGAGGCAAGTTGATTGTAAGTATTGGAGATAATCTAATGGTTCCTTTTTTGGCAAGAAGCAAAATTTTTACATTGAGGGAAGCTGTTATTGTTTTGATGAATTTACCTTCTGTTTGTATATGTTTATTTGGGTCTTTAGGTCACATTAACAATCAATACAACACTTGTTTCTGGATGCTAGTAAAATCTGGAAAATCTAATAAGGATGCACAGGAGCGTCTGAAGGTACTGCACAAATGCCCATTGTTCACTTAGCACATGCTTTTTTTTCTCTTGCATTAATGGTTTAGACTTCATTTGGGACGGCTTTCTTACTGCTTCTTAAAATAATTTTCTTAATTTTTGTACTAGAACGCTGCTTTAAGAAGCAATAAAAAAGCCGTCCCAAATGAAACCTTAATCTTCACGATAAATTTCTTTTCTTTTGATATTATTATAAGTTTTGTAGATTTATCGCTAAGTGTTTAGCAGATCAATATGTCCATCCTCATAATTTCTTTTGTCAAGATCAGAAATTTGGATTAGATTCTTATTCATATTTATTAGTGAATAATCGAGTGATATTTATTAAAGATAAGGTGGTTGGAAGTGGCCTGAAGTATATTAGTGAATAATCGAGCGATATTTATTAAAGATAAGGTGGTTGGAAGTGGCCTGAAGTTGCATGATGAAAGGTATAAAATATGCCCGTTATATCTGAGCTAATAAAATTAGTATTAAAAATGATTTGGAGGAAAGAAAGGGCATATTTAAGATCATATGGAAAGAAGTTGTTCAAAATGATTTTCAATTAATAAATTTATGCCAAAAGAATGATTGAATAATGAGGATTTGATCTCAATTAGTTGGGACAAGGCTAAGGATGATGACATTGTTGAATTTAATGGCCTGTAACAACTAACAAGACAAGTTTGGCATATTATTTAGATCATACCGCTTCAACAAGTGTGACATATGCTGAATGTTATGAGTGTATCAAAAGTCATTTGGCATGAACAATATAAGAAAATCACTTTTGTAATGTTTGACTTAGATTTCATTTGGGACGGCTTTTTTACTGCTTCTTACAACAGTTTTTTAGTAAAAAATTTTAATTTTGGTACTTAAAAAGCTATTTTAAGTACAAATTTTTGTATTAAAAAGCTATTTTAAGAAGCAGAAAGAAAGCCGTACCAAAGGAATCCTTAGTCGGGACAAATTATATTATTTTCTTTCAGTTTCTAACTTATATTGGTTTCTCTTGTACTCTTAAAAACTTGGATGTTACTTTTGTAGGGTACTCTAGCTAAGGACAAAAACGAGTTGCTCTTCCGACAATTTGGTATCAATTATGATAAGCTGCCTGATATCTTCAAGAAAGGATCATGCGTCTACAAAGATACCGTAAAGCTTCCTGCTCTCATCTATATTTCATAGATTTCACAAATGCAAGGCTTCGTTTGTGACGTTTTTTATATTGTTTCTTAAAGTAACTTTTTAGTACGAAAATTAAATTTTTTACACTACAAAATTATTTTAAGAAGCAGTAAGAAAGCCGTCCCAAATGAAGCCCAAATCTTCTTAAGAAACTTATTTGAATTATACTGTTGAATTGGCTGTTTCACAGGTGGAGGAGACTGTGAAGCCTGATGATGGTGGAAATCCTGTTAGAAGGCAACGACGAAGGGTGATTGTGGGACATTTTAACATTATAGAGGACTGGTTCTGGAACGAGCACCCCAACATTCTTAAGGAAGATTGAAGAATATATTGCAAACCAAGTGCAACAGAGTCACCCATACCAACTAAAAAGATGGCAAATCTTTTGCTATCGCTTCATGTATTTTGAAGATGAATCGATCTGCATGAGTATCCCATCCATTATTTTGTAAGTTACATGTTAGGGAATTTGCAAAATGTTCTTATAAGCTTTTTTGATGTTGTAATTTGGTTCAGAATTTTCAAACCATCTCTGGTTTGATCTGTTTAAATTTATTATTTTTTCTTTTTGATTGAATATTCTGAGAAGAGAAGGCAAATGTTATAATCATTTCAACATAAGGATTCAATTGGAGTGATTGCTGCAAAGCTATTGGAGAATTGTTTTGAGAAAAAGAAAAATTCTATAATTTGTTTATATGTATATTTGGAAAGGTTAATTAATTTTTTTATTGCTGTTTATTTAGTAGATTTTATTATGGGGTTGTTTGGTTGGAAGTAAAATAGAGTGTAAAGTATTTTAAATTTAGATGTTTTGAAAATATTGACGTTTGATTGGATGAAAAGAAAATGTAAAGTAAATTAAATGTAAATTATTTTAGTTTATTTTTAAAGTAAATTAAACTCATTCAATTTTGAGCGAGAAATGTTTACACCGCAATGAAGCTCACTTGACTGTTGCCATCCATATCTGTGCAACATTACTGGACGTCACCAAGGCCGTCGTCGGCCACCACTGGTTGCTTGTTGCGGCCCACCAGCAACTGACACCATCATCCATTCCCACTACCTGCCATCGCCACCAACACTTGCCGCCAGCCATCACCACCACCTACCGTTGCTACCCGTTATTGGCTATAATCATTGCTGCCATCACCCATCCCGCCACTATCTTTGAATTTTACACTATACTCAATTTTATTTCAAGCCAAATTAAAAAACATATTCACGTGCATTTACTTATCATTCATCTGAATAACTTTGAAGTATTTCTTTTACAATATATTTTTTTCTAGCCAACCAAACAACCCTATAAGAAACTATTTTAAATCTCCAAAGTTTTTGAAAAATTTTAGAGACTATTTGGTTTGTTGACAAACGAAGCTGTGTTTTGTTGCTAGCCACTGTCATCGGCCATCGATCGCTGTCGTCAATTGTTGTCCTCCTCCATCGTTCGCTTGCCATCTACCATCAATGGCCTCAACCTGTCGTCGTTGATGCTATCGGCCATCAATGATCCCTTACCGCTCATTGGCGACCACGAGGGATTATTAACAAATAAGATGATGCTCATTCAAAGATGTCCAAGGCTTTGCTTGAGATGACTTTCTTACTATTTTGTTATGCTAATGTAGAGAAAATAATTTTTTAAAGCTATTGTATAAAACAATTTCCTATCATACAAATTTTTTGGAAGCACTCAAAAAATAAAATCCAAATAAAAATTGTGGTTGTGATTTAAAAAAAGAAAACTATTCCAAACAAACCCTAAGTATTAATAAATATTTATTTATATTAAGTTCTTCTTTTATTTTTTTGTGCTAGTTTTGGGAGAGAGAAATTCTTCATATAGAGAGGAAAGTTATAATTTTTTTAATTAAAAAAAAGAGATTATAATACGTTAAATAAAATCTTCTTTTTTTGCAAATATAACATGTTGAAATTAAACTTCTAAAAATATATTTTTGTGTGAATTAAAAATTTAAATCATTAAACATTTGCAAAATTTTGAAAATTAAATTAGTTGTTTTATGGTTTTTTTAAAAATTGAATGCTATTGTTATAAATAAAAATATTTAAATATTTCTTTTATAAATGTATACACTATAAACAGAAAATTTTCCTAAAAAAGGTTTCGCTCTTTTTTTTTTTATTATTTCTTTTTTCCCTCTAAATTCAAATTTTAGATAGAAGTGTGACAAAAATACTCTTGTAGCCAGCCAGACCTGTACAGGCGGCGCCTCCACGTTGGCGCATTTCGTCAAGCACCTCTACGGCATGGAGAAACGCTTCCCGGCCTCCTCCCCTGAAAGCCTCATATATGGTATTACAGCTATATATGACAATCTGATGACATCATTACTGCCAGAAGGAGGGGAACGACCGACAGCGAGGCGAGGAACGGCCGACAACCAGGCTCACGCCTCCGGCTCGCATACCCCTTATCGAATCAGACCGAGCCCAACTAAAGCCAGGGCACGCGGCCCTCATGCCGGACTATACAAAACTTGTACCTTTGCTATATTTATTGTTTCTTCCTCTTTCAATCCCTCCTCTTCTCTCAAGCAGAGGAAATCATCTCCATGGCGTCTCCTCGATGTTTTTCTTTTTCTTCCTCCTCCACCTCCTCTTCACGTGCTCCTCTTGTTGTTTATATGGTGCTGGGCTTGCTGCTTTCATGGTTGGAGCTCGCTGGAGCTGGAGGATTCGATCCTTTGCTTCGGCTTCCGAGCTTTAGGCGCGGGGCAAGACGGTCGAGGACGATGAGGTCGGTTTCAGTGATTAATCACGGCGCTAAAGGAAATGGGATCGAGGATGACACCCAGGTACGAGGAAAATGCCTGTTGATTTTTTATGAAAAAGATGAGATCTTGATAGCAATTTGTGTAAGATATGGTGAATGAAGGAAAGATGGTTAAATGTTTCAATTTCAAATGACATAAACGCTGGTTGATTGCTTGCCATTACTTTCCATGGAACATTCTTTTGATTTTGTGTCTTCCTTGATGCTTGGCACAAACTTGCAGAAGAGTAATTACTGAGTCTTTCAGCCATGGGTTCGTTCATTTATTTTTGTGAATTTGGTACGAAATCAACCTTCTCATATGTGCAAAACAACATATCTTGAAGGGAGAACTAGCAATAATGCTTTTCGGAGAATGGCATTGAATGCTCATCAACTTTTTTTTTTGTTATATCTGAAAGAAATAGCGTCCTTTGTTCTTGTTATGACAAATACCTGTTTTTTCCTGCATCAACTAGCAACAATTGTTCTTTGTAATAGTTTACTGCATATCCAAAGGGAATCATATGCGAAATATATCCTTGTGCTAAATTTGTATAGATGTATTTTCACTTAGTTTTTTGCTTGATATTTTTTGACCATCCTCAAATTACCCATTTAGCCATTTTCAAAATGATGTGTTCTGCTTCATTAACCTATAAAAAAAATAAAGAATTCAAATTGATTATTCCTTCTTTCAGGCTTTTTTGGACGCATGGAATCTTGCTTGTTCTTCAAAAGTAGGAGCAACCCTTGAAATTCCTGCTGGACATGTTTATTTTCTTAGGCAGATAAACTTTGTTGGCCCTTGTAAATCCAAAGTGATAGTGTTGGTAATGTTTCTTTTCTTTAATTATTTTCCTTTTCAACTTGCATGTCTATAATATGTAAATAGCGTTATCTAAAGTTTTTAAGCATTTTGCACCATTTTTCTCTTGTCCCATTTCAATTCTTCCAAATAATATTAATGGTTCTAGCTTATTGATTCAAGAACTGCACACTTAACAGCTCATGGGAACAATTGTTGCACCCTCTGATCCTGATAGCTGGCCACAGAAAAACCGTCGGAGATGGCTTTATTTCCATGGGATAAAGGATCTTGAGGTAAGAGGTGAAGGGGTTGTCGATGGCATGGGCGAGGAATGGTGGGCAAGGTCTTGCAAGAGAAATGCGTCAAATGTAAAGCTTTCACATTGTGTTCATGTTGATGTACTTGCTAATCAAATAACACTTTCTGAAGCTTGTTATATTTTTGCAGCCATGCCGGCGTGCCCCAACGGTTAGTACCTTGATGTTGAAGCTTTAATTGAATGTCAATCCTTGTCTTGTTTTACTTTGGTAAATTCCTTTACTGCCAAACTGCAAGAACTATGTTGATGCAGGCAATTACTTTTCATCGGATGAGGCGTCTTACTATCCAGGATTTGACTCTCTTGAACAGTCAAAAGATCCATATGGCTTTCAATAATTGCTTTCAAGTTCAAGCATCTCGGGTAAAAGTGATTGCACCTGAAAGAAGCCCTAACACTGATGGAATTCATATTAGTTCATCTGTTTCTGTTGCTGTTGAGGATAGCATCATAGGAACAGGTTTGTTAAATGACAGTATTTTCCATTTTACAAGCTATGCACAATGCTCATTTAAAACCTTTAGAACTTTCCATAATTAACATGCCACAAAACTAGAAAAAACAAATTTTATTAATAAAGATTTCGCATCCTATTCTGTTTATAGATGTTTCTTCCGTATTCACTATCTATCTCGCACAAAGATGTAAGAAGCTTGCATATCTCATTAAATACTTAAAAGCTCATGTTGTATTACCAAGAAAAAAGTATACATTATGTACACCCTTATGTCTCGGCTTGATTAAATGTTTAGTTGAAGATCTCAATTGGGTCCAGGAGATCATAAAATTTTGAATCAATCACAACTTAAAATACGTCTAAACCTTATAGCTTAAGAGCTGCCTCAAAATGAAGCTGCTAACTTGGCTGCAAGATTCAAGAAGTCATATATTCGCTAAGTTTACTTTCTTGAAGTAAGCACCAATTCTTTTCAAGCACTTACTCAGAGCCTCAAAGTACTCATCAACCGACAAGAAGTTTCCACTCGAGTAACTTGCCCAATGCACTCTTCAAGAGTATTTACTTGAGAATTCACTAGGTTACTTGCCCATGGAACGCAACTTGCTTATTTTTGCGAAGCCACCTATGACTTATTAAGCGAACTTCATAGCTAGTTACAAAAATATCAAGCTATGCCATTTTATGTAATTCAATTAGTTGCAAATTCCATAGCCTCTACTATGGACTCCATCTATACATAAGAGACCAAAGGGTAGATGCATGCACATGAAATTAGATTAATCTCTCTTTTTTTGAATTGTGTTATTTTAATTTGCTCTGATTCTCACTTCTTTGCTCAAAGGGGTTCAATCATAGTCTTTGTATATCAATTCTTTAAGAAACTCTGTGACAGCTTATGCCCCTTCATCTTGCATCCAAACATTATTCAATTCTCTAACTCTAGTCAATTCTCTATAGACAATTTTATTAAATTTTCTAACTCTAGGTTATTTTCTACTGGCACTTTTATATCCTATATCCTCTTTGTTGCGGTGATTGTGGATTATTGCTGAAGATAGGACTGAGAACTTGAATTGCCTTGGTTATATGAGAGGTCTCTTCATCAATGATTGTGAGAGATCTCTTCATAGTGAATAGCCAAATGAGTACATACTTCTGAGCAATTGCAACACATGGAGGATTCTCTAACAAAAATAATGTAGAACATATTTGAGTGCTTTCTGCTAGTTGCTCTACTTCCTCCCCTTCATGGATGAAAACCAACTATATTCATTAGACGACGAGGTCACCTAACTTTACTGCTGCAATTGCATGTCAAGACGACAAATCTTTTCTCCTAAAGAAATTTACCGTCAAGACTCCTTTTCCCTGTCAACTTGCAATTCATGAGGCTCACCCAAAAATGCTTCTCTTTTCTGATTGTGGAGGTTCAACCATCGAGAAACGCATTCTTTTTAACTGGCAAGACAGACCTCTGATCAAAGGGGTTTTAAACCAATTCTTTAAGAGACTCTTTGTGACTTAGCTACTCTCACTTATTCTCAAATCCATACACGATTCAATTATCTAGTAAGGTTTAGGTTATTGAGAGTTATTCTATATCGAAAAATTGGATCAACGCCAAGAAAATTGGGTTAAACTCAACCGACTGCAGGGAGAAGCATTTTTTTTAACAGAGAGAGAACAAACAACGGAATGCAGAGATAAGTTTTTTTTTAACAAAGAGAATAAAGCTGAGCATGGAATCTCGAACATAGAGAAATCGGAACTTGATGAAATCTTCATAATGCACCTAGATACATGAATTCTATTTTTCAGTGTTATATTTAATACCCAACATCCATTTTTAATTAAATTTATGGAACATTAAGTACACTTTATTGTTTCATCTGACTCTTTGTGCATGTCTCACAAGTTTTTTTTTTTTTGCGTTTTCATCTTGATACACAGGGATGTTATTCTAAGTTGTCTTTTGATATTACAGGAGATGACTGCATCTCCATTGTAGGAAACTCTTCTAGCATCCTAATAAAGAACATCACATGTGGACCAGGTCATGGTATAAGGTAATTTATTACTGTCTTGAGCTGCTGTTTCAAAATTTGAGCCAATATTTTCCTCCTCATTGTTGACCTCCTTTGTATTAGTATTGGAAGCTTGGGAAAAGATGGGTCAACTGTCGAATTGGAAAATGTACTAGTTGATGAGGCTTCTATTTCCAACACTGAAAACGGTGTTCGGATCAAGAGCTGGCAGGTTTGTCATAGTATTTTATCTGAAATCATCTTTTTTTTTTTTTTCAATATGGAGTTCTTCAATGTTTATATGCACAGGGGGGTGATGGCTTTGCTAGAGGCATAGTTTTTCGCAACATTGTAATGACAAACGTTTCAAATCCGATAATCATCGATCAGTTCTACTGTGATTCATCACATCCATGCAAGAACCAGGTAGCTTGATTTAAAAAAATATGTTAGGTGCACTCATAAACTAGGAGAAATTATTCTGTGCGGAGACCGGACGCAAAACGCCGTCTGGAGACCAACCAGAATGCGCAACGTCAGCGGTACCGAGTAATACCGAACACATGGGTGACATAACTCATTCTGGTTGGTCTCTAGACGGTGTTCCGCATCCGCACATAATAATTAAGGCATAAACTAGAGCTAGATAGAGAGAGAAAAGAGAAAATAATGCAGTGCAAACGAGTACACGAACTCAACAATTTCTCTTGTTATAAGCCAAAATCTGTAATGTGGAATGCCTAAAGAAAATCTGAATAAAAATTGGATTGGCATATTGTGACCACAATTTAATTAGAATGGTTCCAAAATTAATGAAATTTCTTTGAAATGTGTGTAATCAACTTTTCATATTACACTTATTTCAAAGCTAATTACACTCTCTCACAAATTTTTCCCAATATTTGTTAGTTTAATTTATCCAACTTTCTGAAAAATTCCATTTTTATGCAGACATCAGCAGTGAAAGTTAGTGATGTTTCATTCATTAATATCAAAGGAACCTCTGCCACAGAAGATGCAGTGAGATTTGCTTGCAGCGATAGTTTCCCATGTGAGAATATATTTCTGGAAGACATTGACCTTTCCCTGTATTCTGGAGGGGAAGCAGATGCTTTTTGCTGGAAGGCTTCAGGTAACAGTTCTGGTGCTGTGCGTCCCCCTTCTTGTCTTTCCAGTGATGCTCTGCTGATCAAACAAAATGTTCTCTCTACCACTCCCTTCTTGTATTCCTCAGCTTAAAACAAATTGAAAAAAGAAAAACGTTCATACATGTATTGAAGCATTTCATGTTGATTTTGTTTATCAAATGATATTTGAATTCTTGCAAGTTCATGCAAGACAAACTTTTTAGATCATTTGTTCTTTTAAAATCTGTAAAGGTATATAGATTTTTCTTTTTACTAAGATTTTGTTTGGAACGGTTTTCTTACTGCTTTTTAAAATAAATTTTTAGTATAAAAATTTTTATTTTAAAAAACAGTAAGGAATCCCTAAAATTCTAGCTTTTAATGCGGTGATCTGGTTGTTCAGTGCATCACCTAATCAAGATATTATAATTTTATGGGGGTGGAATTTTAAAAAGGATCGTATTTTAAAATATAATTAGCATAAGGTTTTTAAGAAAAAATTTAATTTAAAAAGGATCATACAGGCAAAAGCATAGAAAACTTAAAATAAATTTGGGCTTTAATAGAAAACTTAAAATAAATTTGCGTTTTATTATTAATGTACAAATTTTTAATTTCTTTTTGCCAGTTTATATAGTTTTTGGTTCCTGCTTTTTCTTTTTTCTGCCATTTTTTAATCTGCCAATTGGGAAGAAATAAGTTTGAAATTATTAAATTTATTTATTTATGTAAAGCTTTCTAAATTGGCAGAAAAAATGGCACAAAAAAGAAAAGTAGGCACCAAAAATTGCATAAACTGACAAAAAAATTAAAAATTTACCCTTTAACGGAAAACATAAAAAAATATTTGCGTTCTCATAATAAAATGCAAATTTATTTTACGTTTTCAACGCAAAAAATCCTTTTTAAATTAAAATTCTCTTAGGATCTTTTGCTAATTATATTTTAAATGAAGATCAATTTTAAAATTCCGCCTTTTATGGGAGGTTGTGATTGCTAGTTCATCAACCATAAATTATGGCTAAGGCTATACGCATCATGGAGGACCATAGGAACAACCTATTGGAGGTTTTAAATTTTTAATTTTCCATCTATGGGATACCTATCACTTATAGGTAGGTATAAATTGACTATTCCATCTAAGGGTATAAATGAGGTGAGTCGGTTGGTGGATCAGCTCAAATTCGACTCGTTAATGAGCTCGCAAGTAACAACAATGGTGATACACAGCCTCACTCTGTTTTTGAGATCAGCTTGAGCTTATCAAAATTACACGCAACTTAGATTAGAAGAGAAAACCACTCATTTTTATGTTCTTGTTTTAACATAGAATCTAAATATATTTGGTTGTATGTTCCCCTTCATGTAGTCGCCATCATAAAATCTCATTCTTTATTCTTTTAATCTTTAGGAAGACTTAGTGAAGCCATCAACATGAGCTCATTGACATGAGAAATTATTATGTGTGGAGGTCAGACGTAAAAAGCAGTCTGGAGACCAACCAGAATGCACGTTAGCGATATGGAGCCACGTTACCGAGCATAGAGGTGACGTGACATATTCTGATTGGTCTCCGGACGACATTCAACGTCCGCACGTAATAATTAATCCATTGACAAGGGCTTCAATCACATCTACTCATTTTTTAAAGAGTAGAGTTGGTCCCTATCACAAGTTGTTGAGTAATCTCCTTCATGATCACGAGTTTGAATATTGTTATTGGGTTGAAGAGGGAAAGGAAGACAAGAAACTCCAATTGGCGTCCCATACATGTTTTCTTGCCTTCTCAGCAAAACCTTAAGCATTTTGTGAAGTGAGAATCCAAAAAGCAATGAACTATTTCAACAGACATTTACTCCAATCACATCTACTGAATTTTCACTTTCCTCTAATTTTTTTTTTTGAAATCTTCACTCTGTTCTTTCTTTCTTGCCCCAACTACAAGCTTTTTCACATATGCAAGTGTTCCATTTTCAAATATTAATATGAATGGAGCGAGACTACTTCATGCAAAATCTATTAGGAAATTCACTTTGAAAAAAGGAGCATAGTTGAAAGTGGAATTTAGGATTAATTTGGTACAACTTCTGCCGCTATTTTTTTGTTTTTTTCAAAAAAAAAAAAAAAAAAAAAAAAATAAAAAATTGTTTTAAAATTTAAAAAAAAAAAAAAAAAAAAAAAAAAACTAAAGAATTGTTTTAAAAAACAATAAAAAATACATCACAAATGAAGCCTTAATTTATACCATATTTAGAATTTACAAAGAATAATTTTAAAATTGGCATTATTAAATTAAAAAAATTAACTTATGACTCATTTTGTAATTTTAACCAATAATTTGTAACATTAAAGTAAATTTAGAATGGTGAGGCATTACTCATTTGTGTGGACAGATAATCACGTGAAAGAGCCACTAAATTTAAATTTTATTTGAGATAATTTTCTTATTACTTTTTAAAAACAACTTTTTAGTACAAATTTTTAAATTTTTTTACTTACAAATTGCTTTAAAAAATAATAAAAAAATCCATCCCGACAAAACCTTAGACTTCACTTAATATAGCTTTCTCATTGATTTACTTTTCATATAGCAAACAATTTCTATTTAATCAATACTTTTTTGCTGCTTTTAAAAAAAATTTTACTAAGAAACTACTTTACAACAACTTTTAAAATTTACTTTCGATAAATCAAATTTTATAGAACAATAAGAAAGTCATGCCAAATAAAGCCTTAATTTAGAATCCAATATATAGCACATTAATTAGCGCACGCTAGATAATAATCATAAACAGTTTGACATTATAGTAAAGCAAATGCACAAACATAAGCATTTACAGCTCCTTTCAACTATCTTCGATCCACTTCTTGACTGCAAATTTCACATTCAAAATCATACGTTCTTCCCATTATATATAAACTCCAAAATACAGGAACAGCAAAAATTCTGAACCAGCAGTTGGAGGAAAACATATTTGCCACCTCTCTGCCACTTCTTCCCAGTTTAAAGGATAACTGAGCCTATCATGTCAGACAAGAGGGAAATCAAAAACATATATGAACTAAACAAACTAAAATGCTCCTTCCATCCACGTTGCTCAAGCAGTAATCTGCCATCATCATCAAAAGCGCTTTCCAAGTTTTATCAGGATACCTACATACAAAACAATGGATTCAGATCAAGTGGCTGAGAGGTTCCTAATCAAGTTTTAATATTAGTTTTACAAGAAATTAGTTTTTTGATTAATAAATGGATAGGTTGTCAGATCACCATTCGAACAAAGTAGAAACATTCAATCATGTAAAGACAGCAAAGCAAAGCTACAGTTCATCAAATGAGCAATCAGAAATTAACTTTCACTGATTAGCCCTTCAATGGCTATTAACAGATTCAACCACTTTGTTTGATTCCACTCTCAACCATAACCAAGTCATAGATATATATGGCAATATAGTTGAGAAGCTCATAATGATAGACTTGTCAAGTGGGTTAGGTTAACCATCAATCCATGAGCTCAGGCCTCAAAATTAACTAATAGATTGGCCTTAATAAATATGAGAATGAATGGATAAATGCTAATGGGTTTAGGGACAACTCATGAGCCCATTTATCATCTAAGAACCGCATTATAGCCTACGATGCACCGATACACCGATTTATGAAAGTGTGTTATATCGGATACGTGTCGGAAATGGATACGCGTCTGATACGGCTCGGATACGATAAAAACAATATGAAAGTGTGTTCTATCGGATACCCTAATGTTTCTCTAAATCAATAAATATCATATGTAGATCCTCCTTATTCTCCCACTACTTCTCCATCAAACCTCTCAATAAATGTATAGCTTCCATAGTAGACCTACTTGGCAAGAACCCAAATTGATTTTGAGAAACATTAGGGTCTAGGGTATATGCACTTTTAATGCATTTTAAAGTAGGAGCTGGGGGAGCTATTTCTACCACCCTCTAAGCATGATCGCATCCATTCAAATTCTTCAATAGCTTCTCAATGGTGATGATGAATTCTTGTACAAGTTTAAATAAGTAAATTTTAGATTTTGGTTATTTAAATAATATATTTTTATTCAAGTCCAAGATAACATCAAGCACTTTGATAGTGCTTCCATGTGGCACTCACAGTGCAAGCAAAATCTATACAAATTCGTAACTTCCAACCATTTTGATAGTGCTTTGATGTGGTAAATCATGAGGGAGGAATCAAGAATGCAAGTAGGGCCTCTTGCCACGCCATGGTGGGTGGTTAGGTGTGGTGAACGAAACACCTACGTTAGCGGGTCTTCCACTCATGCTAAGAAAGATGGGTAGAGTGGTGCATGGCGTGGCGTGGTGAACGAAACACCTAGGTTCTACCTTTGATTGAAAACCTAACTGATCATAACAATAAAGTTGTGATGAAAAAAAAAATGATTCAACTCGCTCTTAAAATTTGTTAAATTATACTTTACAGTAGTCTTCATTTGTCACAACATCCTTTCAGAAAAGCTTCACCATCTTCACCTGAAAGCTACTCTTTTCTTTAAAACCACCACAAGCTGTATTTAAGAGGATCAGAGGCCCCTTTGAGTTGGACAATATGAGATTAGTTTAAAATTTAGAAGCACAAGACTTGCTGTACATGTAATTTTGTGGGGACTATGGGGAGACCAATATTAAGTAGCTAAAAAGAAAATCAAAGTCAGACCGTTTTAGTCAATGTAATACTTACTCGTACAAATATATGCACAACATTCATATTGATCAAACACACATGTATGTTCCTGGCTCGCATGCACGCTCCTGACTTGCATGTATGTGATAGACACCTGATTCAAGTTTTTGGGATTAATTTTAGATTTTTGACAAATGGAGGAGCTTAGTCTCAACCAAAGGCTTCTAAATCTACAAGCATCAATTCATAGTAACTATCAAGATGCAACGTAGACACGCCCTATGGACTATAAACAAGATTTGATCTAGCACCACACTTCTAGAATTTGGGGATGCCAACAACTCCACCAAATCACCAATCAATTCTTTTTTCATGCACACCTATAAAAAAGAAGCACTAAGGTAAATTCCATTTATTTTTTCTTATCTTTGAATTTTCATATTTTCAAGCTATTGGGGTCACGACACGACCCGGAGTAAGAAATCTGTTATTGGACAGGTATATTTTTCTAGAAATTCAACATGAGCAAAAATAAGAGATAGTACGAAATCCTTTAAAACCAAACTATATTATTGGACAAGTCACGACATGACCCGGAGATTCAAATTAACGAGGTGGGAACAGACGATCAGATGGTTAATACACTTTCTACAATTACACATAACAGTAAAATCTAACATTCCTCAAAACACTGAAGGGCCACTAACACCACTTGTACATTTAAATATATCACCTTGTACCTGCTTTCATTTATTCGCTGGCTTCTGCAGATGTATTTCTCTCTTTCACCCATTTCTACTTATCATGAGACTTACCTAAACATTTAGATTAACAGTTTGAGTTTACACGGCAAACTTAGTGGATAATTACCATTTTATACACCCCAGTTAAGTATATAAAATAAAATATGCATATTCCTTTGTCTTTCTTTCACAGTTAACATATACATAATCTTTATATACAGTTGCATAGCTTATTTCTTATTATGTTTCATTATCCATTTTCTATTTAACATTTATTCATTTTTTATTTCAATTAGTGTAGGAGCACCGTCTAAATGTACCAATAAAGGCACTACCATTTCCATTTAACGTGCATGGGTAAGTTATTTCCTTAGTCAGTACCATACGGGGATGAACTTTTGTAATTTACAAGCATATACCATTTCCCTTTTATTTTTACATTTGTTCCATTTCAATCAAGGGCGAAACTGCCTTATGCCCTCCCAAAAAAAAAAAAAGAAGAAATTTATGGCACATTGAAACATGATTTGAATTGGCTTACTATAGGAAATTTGATTCTTAATAATTGTATCATAAAATTCCTTAAGAGTGCATTCATAAGTTATTTATCTTAAATTTTTTTTTTTCAGACAATCTAATATATCTCATATATTAGCAGTGGAACCATAGTTGTTTCTTTTCTAATATAATAGAGACAGAAGCACGATCATTACAATACTAATCAATATTTATGAATTAATTAGTTCTAATACAACATTCTCAGGAAATATAAAATAGAATGCAAAATTGATAATTTTTTTATTTAATAATTATAATGCAACATAAGAATTTGTTTTGAATTTTCTCTTATATGTATTGTATTTTATGTGTTTGCCCCCCACTCTTATGACAAAAAAGATTAATGTAGCAGACCTCATGCACTATTCTAAATAACATCAAATTTCATTACTTATCGCTGAATAGTATACAAATTCAAAGCCACAACGAATTTGATTTGACTAACATCCTTAAGAATAATGTTAAATGCATTGGCTATTATTACAAATGTCAAAATTCTCTAACATTTCATGCCTCGAACATAATACATTTCCAAATTTGCTTTCTTTTTCTTTCCAAGAATTTAAAGTATATATATATATTTGTCATTTTGATGTCTAACTTTTATCATTCATCATTATGAATATAATAACCTTCAAACATTTATAATTGAATAAATAGTTAGAAGACTATATAAAATAAAATAGAATCATGTAATGTCTATAAAAATAACAAAAATTACCCACTTTATTCTCTTTTGCGTTCAAATCCTTCCAAATCTTCAATTCATTGAACTAGATCTCCAATACTTATCTTGTCTCAAGTATGAAAATCTCACTATTCTAAATAACATTAAATTTCATTACTTATCGCTGAATAGTATACAAATTCAAAGCCACAATGAATTTGATTTGACTAACATCCTTAAGAATAATGTTAAATGCATTGGCTATTATTACAAATGTCAAAATTCTCTAACATTTCATGCCTCGAACATAATTCACAATCTAATTCTCTAATAATCAAAATTATTACCTCAACTAATGATCCTTCCTCTTTCAAATTATCCTCCTGGAAATTTAGATTCACCACTAGATTTCCTCTCTTTTCATTTGACAATCTCTTATTATTTCATCAATTAGAGGAATGTAAAATAATAATTGTGAATGCAAAAGGACAATTTAATGCACTTACTCTTTCTACTGTCATCAGAATTGAAAACTCTTTGATTTGTCTTTCTCCAAAATTTTCTTCACTTTCTTGCTGAGTTCCTTCCTTTATCTTCCATTAAAACAATAGATCTCTTCGTAGGAATAAATCACAGAAAAAACGTGCAAAAAAAAAAAGAAATTGGAAACCTACTTTCTTCCTTCCTTTCAGCCGTTTCTTTCTCGACACAAACCTTCTCACGTATTTCGTTCTTATGGGAGTGAGTGAATAGAAGTTATGACACACAAGGAGTTTGTGGGCTCCGAAAATTCGGCCCCGGCCTCCCCGCCGCGCGTTGATTGTTTTGTTTTTTTTCTTTTCGGCGAGGGAGTTTTAACGGAATAAGTTCCGGGGTAAAGTTTGGGAAGGCAGACGGGTTTGTAGATAAGACACTACCCAGAGATTTCGCCCTCATTTTGCGAGGACTTTATGATCCGAGTTCTGGTTTCCTATAGGCGCAAGCCCCTATAGTTAATTACCCCTCTCGATAACAAGAGAGAACTTTCGATTAAGGCTAGTCGTCAATCAGATACGTAGAGATACGCGTTATCTGGCATATAGTAGCAGCAAATGTTTGGATTTGAGAATTTGAAAGGTTTGATATTTAAAACAGGAATTTCACCACCTAGCACTTAAAGCGGATGGTGGGGGAATGGATGATAAACCCGATCAAGATCACATGGTTCTGTCGTCCCGGGCCATCGTGGTCCCTGGTCCACTTAGTCAAAGGAGGTAGTCGACCCAACCTGATAGAAGGATCCTTGTCGGCAGCCATGGGTTGCTTCGTCCAAGGGGACCTTGTAGACCTGGGTTGAATGTTTGCCTAAGGGGACACCTTAGCTAACAGAGGGCTTTGTGCTCTATCGATCATATCCTATTGATTCATATCTCAAGGATTTGATGCCACTAAGGAACGTATTGTCTTTGGCCATAACCGATATTTTATGGTGCCATTTGGCGGCAAAACCACTCGATTCAGAGGGCACCGGGTCA